ATATCCCATTACCTCCCTCAGATATTTAACCCTGTGATTATCTATCCATAGAGCTAGAAAGTTTTTCCTAACATCAAAATCTCCTTTTGTGCTCTTTAGGACCATTATTGCTTATCCTACCTAGAGAGAACAGTTTATTACATTCTTCTCTGTAGCAATCTTTACCACATTTGAAGCTTATTATTGTCTCCCCATCTCTGCTATAGACTCAACAAGTTCAATTCTTTCAGTCTTTCCTTAAAGGTCATTATTGCAACTCTTCTCTAAATACTCTTCAACTGGTCCAAATCTGTTTGAAGTAGAGTAACAAAAATGGAGACAGTACATCATCTGAGGCCTTACACCGAGTACTGTAGAAGAATTTCATATCTTACACGCAACAACAATCCTATTCATATATCCCAGTATGACTCTTAGTTTTTTTATAGAACTGTCATGAGTCCTTTGTGTTCGTTTTGTGATACAGCTGCTTATTTGCAGAACTGTCGCCCAGCCCAGCCAGCTGTTTCTCATATTTAAGTTTATTGTTGCTACCCAAACGTATTATTTTGTGTTTCTCTTTACTGAACTGCATCCCACGTAGTTCAGGTCACTCATCCAATTTGTCAAGACCATTTCACACTCTAATGCCTGTATTCCCTCCTAGATTTGTACTGTCCAGGCAGTTAGTAAATCTGCTTTGTTCTATCATCCAGGTCACAAACTGAAAGACTAAACAGGATTAAATTCAGAAAATACACCTGCACAATTCCACTCAATGCATGCCTTCAATTTGAAATGTCCTTAAAGCATTTAATTATTAAGTAACTAACCAGCATGGCAAATCTTCTCTGACAGTTTCTATTTTTGGTGTTTCTAGATTCTTTAGCTGTGGAGATAAAATTCCTAATTTCAACACTACCGTACAGGCAGAGTATCTTTCAAACACAAATATACAGGGGAGGCTCTACCACTCTCCTCCCACTTCAATGTATTTGTATGTGGCACAGTAACCCAGTTGCATAGCTCCTCCAATTTTGAATTTGGGCTATATCCCTGTTTTTCTTTCCTGTACTAGAGATACTACAGAGACACTTCAATTCACAAAAAGACCCACTAGCTCTGAAAAACTCAGATCTTTTGTGTATATATATAGATATATACAGACACACACACCGCAATTACATATATATATATACACACCCCCCACAAGAAAACAAAAACAACAACAAAAAGCAGGATGTTACCATTTCTGTACTAACAGGCAAACTCTCAAGAACATTAATTTCCTTTTTGACTTTTAAATTTTTTAACTAAAGTAAGTGTTTTAAACAAAGTTCAAATCACTGTATTTTAGGGACAAATATCAGGTAGTTCTCATGACAAAGCTGTAAGAGACTGACAAAATCCCACTGCTCTACTACTGGCGTATTCTCTAAAAGGTAAGCTTTTACCCTTCTTACTGCTTGTCTGGCACATATGCACCCAGTAATTAAAACAAATGTTTTTGTTTAAATGTTGTATTTAAATCTGAACTAGTGAAAACATATTTAAAATCCTGGACAATCAAATTGCCTATCTTGCCAACATTCATATTCCTATGTCCTATGATGAAGTTCAATAGACCAGAAAACATGGAGAGCAGCTAATGGCAATCTAACACATAAAACATCACTACAAGGAGAATCAACTATTTTCTGAACCAACAAGACACAAAGCAATCAGCTTAATGCAAAGCAAAAATATTTAAATTGAGTAACAGGTAGAATTTTAACCATGGGGTGATGAGCTGCTGAAACAAGCAACCCAAAGAGGAACTCATCAGAGGGAATGATCTCGGTATACTTCCAAAGCGCAGAGGATTGGACAAGTTGACCTTTCTGTGTTTCTATGTTTAACTGAATTCATTATAAGCATCAAAACATTAAAGTAACTTTAAAGAACAGTTATTGTAAGTTAAGCTAAGCTTTTTGTCTGAGGATACAAAAAACCTCTTGTATGACAAATTGTCTGTACAAAGGCAAGCAGTTAAATGCAAACTGTTAACTAATACACAAATTTTTAACACAAATGGCACAAACTATCAGCCTACTATGCTACAAAACCAAACCAGACTATTTTGATTACAAAGCTGCCCTTAATCAGAGAATCTTTTAAAAAGTCTTTTTAAGAACAGCATCCAATAAGAAAGAGAACACACTATTTAATGTTCAGCTCTGCACTTCCTAAGTGTGTTTTACGAGTTACTCAAACAGAAAGAAGATTTTCACAAAACTAGAATAAACTCTCATGATGATTCTTCTACAACTAAGGCAGTTTTTTGAAGCAGAAACCATATTTACAATATTCTCAAAACTAGAACAATATACACTTAAGTGTTAGTGTAAAGTTTACCAGAAGCAAGTTCTTATAATCAGCAGCTTCATTTCCAGCAAAGAACACTTAATTTGGAAACTTAAAAAAAAAAACACAAACCAAAAAAACCCCCCCAAAACCAACAAACCACCACCAACCCAAAAACTTCCTCCCTACAGAAGCGAGGAAGTTTCTCACTTTCTGCAACTTCACTCCCGCCTACAGAGGTGGCAGAATTTTTCTTGTTTAAGGTTTTTAAGGACAACTTCTACAAATATCTGTCTGGAATAATCTAAGTAAGTTTAAAGCAACCCCAAAGAAAGGGAACAACAGGTCTTACAGTACTGCATTTCTAGAACTGTGAGTACAATGTAAATCTATGGATATAAGCAAGTGCTGAACACTTGAAAAATAAGTTCTCTCTTGCAAATCTGGTTCTTTACGATCAGAGAGACCTGTATCATCAGTTCCCACACAATGCAGACTTCCATTTTTGGGAAAACCAAAACAAAGCAAACCCCAATAGATTAGCGCTGAAGATTTTAAAGACACCTTTTCAAATGTGAAAGACAAATTTAAAAAAAATAAGAAAAAACACACAACTGGAAGAAGGGCAGACTGCAAAGACTTCTGTTCAACTTCCCGAGTACTTTCAGAAACATTAAGAAAACATTTCTTATTTCCCTTATGCAACAAGGTGGTAAAAGAGCAGAGTAAAAGTCCTTCCACCTTGTATCAACTAGACAGCTCTTACTGACCAGAAGTCAACCTAATCAAAGTACCTAGAATGATCTGAAAGAATCAGAAACAAAAAAAATCTTTAGGTCTCTTGGAAATATTGGGAGAGTAAAGCCTTCATTCTGTATAAGACTATGGACAGCAGACTGGAATCTCACTACAAAAGTATGTAAGAAACAATGATAAATATCAGAGCAGTCACATGATGTTCAGCTGTAGAACAGAAGCCCATACTAGGATACGTTGCCAAATTTTGTGAAATAGAGATCTAGTTATTTTTGCACATTAAATCTGTAACAACACTGAGCTCAAAAATCCTATTTGCTATTTCTCTTTTTCCAGAAATGTTAAAAATTATGAGACAAAACATATGACTGAACTTCAAGAATAACTAGCTTAGTAACTAAGTTATTTAATATAGCCTATCTCTTACTTATTATACACTTGGAGTATGCAATGCAAAGGAAAAATAATTTCAGTTAATAGTGGTACAACTGAGAATTGCAACAGCTACCTATATTGGACTAAATAACTAAACACATAGATTATGAACAATATTTCAATTTAAGGTCATAACTGTGTCCTTACTGACACACATGGTTGTACCGTGTAACAGTCCTTCACAAAAAGCCCTACTGTAAATTCAAGACATAGAATGTTTTTATGAAATAAGCATGACAGTGCTGGAGAAAGCCTGCAACCAAAGTTGATCAGGTTCTGAATAGCTTGCTGGAAGTCACATGTTAAAGTAAATTACTGACTGCTAACCCCTTCTAAGGTAATGGGAGTTTCATGAGTGACTTCAACTGGGTGAAAATTTCACCTGATAGCTATTTTTTGAACATTTTACCACACACTCTTTACTTTAAAAGAACTGTATTTTTCTCCCCTACTGTTTAACACACATCATCTTCTTTTTTCCTTAAATAAACTTATTTCCACTTCTGATTAAGCAAATACTAATATTATTAATATGACAGTACCGTAAGATTAAAGAATGCTTGAAAAAAACCCACAACAGTAACTTGTCAACTCAATTTTCTGAAAAGTTATACTTGCTTATGAAAAGAATGAACTTTTAACAGCCACAAACCTACCAGTCCCTACTGGATCACCAGCCCTTGTAGCAGCACGGGGAGGGAGGGAGGGGGGGGAAGCTTAATATCTAACCATAGGTTAGAAATACATCCAAAAAGTATATTCTCAAAAGGTTGCACAAGTTAGTAATTAATATGAGACAAAGAGTACACTTAGAGCTTCACCTTAAAAGCCTCAGTAAATAAATGATCACTATGTTATTAGTACAGCATTAACGACAGCATCAATTGAAAACATGCAAATACATAGACAACCACCGAAGAACTACTACAATTTGTTTAGTAATAACTGCAAACATATTTCCAAAGTAAAGCTTAGAAGTTCAAAGCCTAAAGAAGACATTCTGTTATAAAAATTTTGTATCAATTATGTGGCAGCCTAAAACCAGATTAGTAAAACGCAGAGTTATATTCCAAGACTACAAAAACTGCCAGCATTCCTGGATAATCAGGGCCGGAATACAAGACACCATAAGGAAGAAGCAGAACCATATGCTCTCCCTTAAGAGAGATCAGGACTAGGAGACAAAGGGGATGTTGCTGAGCTGGGACGCTTGGATACTACCGGAATTATTCTTCCAAATACAAGAGAAAGCACAAATGTATTTTACAAGTTTGGGACATATATCACAGCCTCAAGACAGACCAGATTTGTGACGTTAAGTATCAATTTTTGGACCCCTGCATCCTTAAACATCAGCGTTCCTACAGGGCAGGAGCAGTTTGGGTTCAACGGCAGAAACCGTAACGAGTACAGAAGCAGCAGCACGGGACAGGTGTGAAGAGCAAGCCGAGACAGCAAAACCACCACGAAGTGCTTGGGGGGGGGTGTCAAGGGCAGGGCCCAAGGCTGCTCGTTGGGGGAAGAAGGGCCGAAGGACCCGCGGATGTCAGCGTCTGCAGACGGGAAGCTGCGAGAGCAGCGCTGGAGCAGTCAGAGGCACAGCCAAGTTGGCGCCGTGGAGTTGGGCACCCCGTCCAGCAGGTGATACGGCAGGACGGCGGGGGACAATCAGGGGGCACACCAGCGGGCTCTGCGGGGCACGCCGCCCACCCCGGGACGGCGCCAGCAGCACGGCCCGCGAGCCCGGCACCCGGGGCTGGAGGGCCCCGGACACAAGGGCAGAGGCGGTGCGGGACGGGGGGGGAGAAGCGCGGGGCGAGGAACGGGACATGGCACGGGCCACGGCGCTGCAGCCTGCGCTCCTCTGGAGAGCCTGAGGCGAGGAGGGGGGGCTGCCGCGGCGCGGCCCGGGCACTGCGAGGGGCAGGCGCGAGGTGATCTGAGGTGAGGCGGGGCAGGGCCGGGGCAGGGGGGAGGAGGGAGCGGAGCGGAGCCAGTCGCGCTTCCCCGGGGCGCCCAACCCCGCCCCGCTCCCCGTGTGGCCCGGGGCACGATGGCGGGGAGGAGGCTGGTCCAAGGGTCCCCGCCCCCCGGGCCCCCGTTACCATTACCCAGCACGCCCAGCGCTGCGCCGCCATCCCGCAGCCGGCCCGCTCCCGCAGGGACAG